AATATTACACCGTCATAATTTGTAATTATTAAATAAACGTAATGATCGAACACTTTAAAATATAAAATAATATTTATACGGACACATTTTTATGCAACGTTCTCTGGTTCTCTAGTCTCTAATTTGAATTTTAAATAAATACATATTATACGTATATAAACACCCATACACTGGAAAACACTATGTTCATCACACAATATTTTTCCAGTACTGGGGTTCGAACCCACACCCTCTGGCGCAAAAGGCTCACTACCCCACGCCACGGTCGTCTATAAAAATAAAAATGTACAAAGTAACGTGAAGTGCACATCACTACCATTTGAATTCGAATCATGAACACTTGAGCGAAAGACAAATATTTTTCAAACACCGGTGTGAGCAAACATAATCCTTTGTGACAATCGTCGGTGATTTCAGTGTCGATGACAATATGGTGTTGTGCGAAAAGGTAAAAGAAAAAGGTAACGGCAAAAGATACGCTTTGTTTAACTCAGCGGGATTTCCGATTGGGGTGATTGCTATGTAATTTGTGAATAATACGCGTCTTTAGGGGTCTTCTAAGATACACAGACCCATTATTACATTGCCACAGATAAAACATTCACTGTCGCTTTTATCTACTTTTGGATATGATTCTGAATTCTTTAATTTCTTTTGTAAATTACTTAAAATTTGCGGCCAGATCCAAGATATTCTATAATATGAAATGCATCAAATAATACAATGAAAAATATTCAAAATCGATTGATTGTCAATAGTGTTTAATTTTTATGCGATACGTAAGTCTACATTAATTTTTAATCTCAGTTATCATATGCATACATCTTAATTTATTTTAAGCTAGAAAATAAACTTTTTTTTATTAATTGATTTAATTTAATGTGTCCTATTAATTTAACAAATTAGGTGAATTATTTCTCTTTTTACGTGTTATTTCAATAAAAAACATATATTTTGAGCTACATTTAAAACATTTGATATGTTCGCTGTGCACGAATGGGCAGGGCCGTCCGGGTAAGTGACTTGATACAATACCGACTAGTTATATCCGCTCGTATCTATGAGTTTTCTCCAAAGAACAAGTAATAAAAAGTAAAGTAACAGCCTGTATATGTCCCACTGCTGGGCAAAGGCCTCCTCTGTACAGAGGGTATCAGGGCATAGTCCACCACGCGGCCCCACTGCGGATTGGCGGACTTCACATATGTTCAAAAAATGTTTTGTTTTTATTATTTCGAAAATATGCAGGTTTCCTCACGATGTTTTCCTTCACCGTGGAGCACGTGATAAGTCAGCACTTAAAGTTAAAAACTTCATTGGTGCCGGCACCTGGGATCGATTTCAGGTTGTTCGAGTATATTGAATTAAAGGCGCGCGCCCGGACACTGAGCTATCACGGCTCAAAGAATAAGTACATAAAATATTGTACACACCAATACAGTTTTACTAACAAACAACAAAACCGACTTCAAATCTCACTCCCTACATAATAACACTTAGGTAGTTTAAAAAAAATATAAAAGACAGTTTCTATTTGAGGGAGAGAGAGAGGAGAGTTCCTGATGTATCTCAATAAAGAAAGCCAGTGAAGCTAATATAGTACCCCTTGAAAGCTATACCGAACCTAATGCCAAAAGAAGTTTTACTTTATTTTTTGTTCATAGTTATTTTTGTTTATGAGGTACAAACAAAAATTTAAAACTTCCTCCTTTTTTGAAGTCACTTGAAAAGTAGCGTATCGTATAAAAGAATAGTGACGTCACAAGGCGAACTAATAGACGGGGATCACGAACAAGCGAAAAAATCGATAAACACCCAATGTTTAGTTTTTCTTCATTGATGAATATAAAGCAAAAAGTCGCGATCGCATCCGTGTCTTGAAACCAATCAAGCGTGTGCTCAAGTATCTAACCATAAAAAATAACGCAATCAGAAAACCACAAAACCCGCCAAATCCGTAACGAATCACGCTGTTAAATTCGAATTTCGAATGCGAATATTTGAAATATGGCGGTTGCGTTTAAAGACAACGTCGACCGAACGGACGACGACGCGGCGGCTGCAATTTGTTACCTTTTTAACACGTCATCAATTTTTAAAGATTCAAAATGAAAAAAAAAAAATCTTAAAAGCCATGTGGGCTTTTGTGAACGGGTTTCGTGTTAGAAAAAGAATTGAGCTTTATGTCATTTTGATACACTCACAAGAGCCTTTTGTATGGGGGTGAATTGACAATGGGCGTTCTTTTTATGCAGGTGGAAATCTTTGATCTTGTATTGCTTCGATTCTGCGTTGAATTAAAACGATTCTTCAAGCCGTCTTTAAGAAGTCTTTTGTAGTTGTTCCATCATAGTATATAATTACCGTTTATACCCATTAAACTGTTTATAAGAACAAATATTGTAAATCTAATTGTGTTTGGAGGGAAAATAACTTCTTTTTGTTGTCATCGTGTGAGATTTTAAACAATATTTTGAAACCCATTTTTAATCAACTGTTTTATATGTATTTATAACTTAAACGTATCAAAAGGGATAAAATAATTTTTAATAACAACGAAAGGCTATTTGTGATTGCTATGAACTTTCGGATCAAGGTCAGTCAGTTAAAGTACTTTATTATAGTACATATTACACGACTCATATCTTTGTATTTTTTTATTTTAAGATTTTAACGGTTTTACACACTTTGTGGTAAAAGTACAAAACAAAACAGCAAATATATATACAGTATACTAGCTACTCACCACGGCTTTGCACGAGTAGCACTAAATTATCGAAAAAAATCTGTTGATCGGATTACTACCAAATTCCTACAGGATCACCCGTTTGGCATATAAGTAGAGTGCCAAAAATTTTCTCTACAATTTTGATTCATATAAATACAGATTACTATCTTTGTCACTATCGCTAGGAGCAGGATTCTATTAGATATTGATCACTACATAGTATAAAACAAAGTCGTCCCGCTGTCCGTCTGTCCCTATGTATTCTTAAATCTTTAAAACTATGCAACGGATCTTGATGCGGTTTATTTTACTGGAGAGAGTGATTCAAGAGGAAGATTTATAAGTAAGATTTGCATTAAACACGTGCAAAGCCGGGGCGGGTCGCTAGTTATACAATAAATGTCATCGTCTTAGTCTTGAACAAACGTGGCATTACTAGTAGAAAAAGTAGACGTTTTTCTGATTATTGTTAAACATGAGTATAAATTACAAAAAACTAGCTGCTGCCCGCGACTACGTCTGAGTTGAATAGGCTAAAGGCGTAACATTCAGACAGAAAGACAGATATACATAAAATATGTATATAAATTATAGCCTATGTCTTATTCTGATGTATAAGCTATATTATTGTAAAGTTTCATTAAAATCCATTCAGTAGTATTTACGTGAAAGAGTAACAAACATCCATACAGACTTTCGCGTTTATAATATTAGTGAGGATTGTGAACAGATTTTTTTAAACTATGACTTTAATTAATTGTAGTAATTTTTTTACGTGAGAAGGTGGCAACAGACCGGTTGATTCACAATATTTTGAATGGACATTTGCAACGATCGCAGGATTTCAGATGCGTTGCCATCTTTTAATTAAGTTGGCCTTATACACCTGACAAACGCAAAAGTGTAACATTTCCACTTCACGAAGGCCTTCTGTGAGATCGTGGTACTACCCCAGACGGAACTGCCCATTAGTGCAACAGCGAAGACTGTTGTGTAGCCGATGCATGCACGTATGAATATCAAAGAGGGTGTAAAGAATAGATCAGAGGAAAGATTGATAGTGGAAATCTAAGACATCTTCCTGTCTACGTATGACTGTTCCTTAATGACTCAGTTACTCGGTTAACAGCTATGGACATAACAGCATAGCGGGTCATGGGTTCGAGTCTCACTCGGGACAAATATTTATATGACGGACAAAGAATTTTTGAGTACTGGATGTGCCTTCTTGCATAATTTGTGTTTATGAAACGTCACAACAAACCAAAATTATTTTAAGTCACAGAAGGAGTAACGAATTTTTTGAAAGATAGAAAATCTGTGATAGGTTTGAGTAATTATTTATTTGTAAATTCAGAAATATGTTTTAGATTAATGGACAGCTAAATGGAAATGAAAGTCTAGTAATTGAACTTTTATGAATCAGTTCAATTATCAGAAATAATAATTATTTTTTGGATTGTATGAATATGGTTGCCTAGGCACATATCTACATATCACATTCCAAAAATATTTCTACAGTCGTTTATTCTTTATTTGTTTTTCTGTGCAGGTGAAAGAAAACAAAAATAAAATTCATCAGTTTAATTTTTCCGTTCTTATACTCTCTAAAGTTGCACAAAAATACCACATGCATTGCAGTCTTCACTTGGTTTTCTTGAGATGAATTTAAATCTTTAACGAAGACTTTAACAAAATATTATATAATACAAATGACACATTTAAATTATTGAAATTTTTATAGGTACATATTTCTTAAGACTAAGGACGGATGGAGTTTACACGATGACTAAGGATAGGCACTTATTTATTCTTTTTTATTTATATTTACATTGACAAAATGAGATCAGATAATTTACAAGATTTAAGAAATTAATATTAAGTCTAAGTAATACTATTTGAACATAGTTCTCCGAGAATGTTATCTTGTTAGGAGTCATGTAGAAGATTTTTAAGGCTTTGAAGACCTGCCATTTGTACAAAACAACTTTCTAATTATATGTAACATTGAAATATCTTTGAATACGAAATTTTCAAACAAAACTTAATAAAACATCGTATGACGAGTGAATAGTAATGATAAATAGAACATTCAAAAATTATTAATTTATCTCTTTCATACTATACTCGGTTGTAATACATTAGTTATTATATTTCAAACATACGACATACATATGTCGAATATCGCGATGTTTGGGTGAATAAATCAGTCTTTGATCCGGAACAACATGTTCGTACGGCCGATATTTACAGTGTTTTCTATGGCTCATCAGTTTTCGTCCTCCGTGTCCAGGCTGTCGATGGGGAAGTTTGGGTTCAGTACTGGGCTCTTGCCGTTGGACCCGCTGGGCGAAGTGCTCACCGACGACATGCCGACGAGGTTGTGCGTCAAGCTGTGCCTTCTCAAGTCACAGTTTCTTCTGAACACTTTGCCGCATGAGGAACAGTTGTAGGGTTTGATGTCTGTGTGCGTCAGCAGATGGGTCTTGAGGTTAGATCGCTGGTTGAAACTCCTGCTGCAGACCGGACACTTGTGCGGCGACTCCTCCATGTGCAGGATCTTGTGGACCGCCAGCGTTCTCGACTGGCAGAAACCTTTGCCGCACTCCATACACTTGAATGGCTTCTCCTTTGAGTGAATGTATCTGTAATGAAGAGGACTGGATCAATAGGGGTCCTGACATGGTACCAAGTCTAATTCATATATTCTTTTAGATTTCTTATAAAAAAAATGTAGACTAAAGAAATGTAGACTGGTTGGGAAAATAATTCTATCTTATTGCAGTAAAAACATTAAAAAAATAATGTTAAATGTAATCATATGGAAAATAGGAAACGCTAGAACGAAGGTGCAAAATCAATAACACAATGTTCAATAACATTGTAATATTTAAGATTAGTTGGTGACTCTGTGCTGCAGTTTCTAAAATATTGGTTTCAAAATAAGTCAACTAGTAAGTTGGTAGGTTTTTTTAACAAAAACATGAAGAGTATTTACAATACACTAAATTGTATAAAAAAGTCAAATTTTTCTGTTACAAACAATGAAAAGCAATTTCGTTGGAATTAAGGGAATCTTATAATAGTCGTCAGAAGTTTTCAAAATGTTATAAAATCCGCGAAGTTTACACTAACCTAAATATCGGAATTTATTAAACACATATGTTGAGATTTCTGCAAAATTTTAAAGAATTATATCAATTATAATTATTAGTTATACATTTTTGTATCGTTATATTATTTCTGTAAACTACGGCCTGTTGACAGTCTAATATAATGAATATTAGACCTTAAGGTAATAAATACTGGACACACCATTCTTTAAGCGTTATTAATATGTATTTTCCTACCGCGTTCCTTTTACCTGTTAGTCGTAAGTGTCAAACACACTTTTATAATTCGAATAAATAGCTCCAACAAACAAGGTATAATTAACGCCGTACAACGTACAATCAATAATAACGGGCAACCTGAAACCAGCAATCGTGCAGCAAGCTCAATAAATCTAACACGCCGTCTAAACAAATAGAACCGAAGCGAAGGATTACGTGTTCGATGTAACGTTAGAAGAGTAATAATCGAGATTAGTTAGTGACGATAAACACTTCGTAATGAATGGAACGGTGACACGGCGGAAACGCGGCTTTAGGAACATGTTCATGAGAATTTCGAGTATATTTGGTTACGCAAACGATCACATTCCTTGTAATCACCTAATTTCCCACTGGTTTATGTGCTTTACTAAGGATATGAGTACAGGGGATAAAGTACCAGTGAGACTTGAAGCCTTATGAATCACCTAAATTGTCAGACTGAAAGACTGTTCTGTTTAGACTCTGTTCAAAACTTGTTAATCTGCATATTTTCATGATGACTTACTATAAACAATAAGGTCTTATAGGAATTGTAGCAAAAAACCCACCCTACTCTAATTGGAACAGACAGTCGTGAGAATATAATTTCTGGTGGAAATTTGAAGAATTAAGTTTTATTGTAATTGGATTGTCTCTAATTTTCAACCAAAGAATTTACTTTCATCTATTTTTGCTAAAACCAGAATAATATTAAATTGTAGTGATTTAGATTTTATTAATGTTTTATGCGGTGATCACTTATATATTTGTAGTCCCAATGTTTAGACTCAAATTGCTCAAACTTCATTATTTTGAACTAAGATGGAAATTATAATGTAGATTAACAACATAATTATAACGCTGAAATATTGAAGGGGATGAAAACTAAGAATATGGATGCTTGGGGAATGATAACGTATTATTAAACTAGTTTAGTAGTTTAGAGTATAATGTTATTGGGAACAAGAAATAATAGTTGATAGTATTTATAGCAGATTAAATTGTTTACAATGTCAGTTCTTTCTGAAACCAATCCAAGTTAATTTAATAATGTAACTCAAATATTATGACTCAGAACGAGCTTCATAGTTCCTTTTGTAAGTATACCAAAATATCATTATAATAACAATAACTTCAAAACAAGCAATAAATTAATTTCAATTCGAACCACAAAAAGAGGTCCGCCCGATCGCCGGCTCGAACGCCGAAACTTAATTTTGTATGCGGAGAGGATATTTACCGCGGTTCTCATTTTTTCCTCACCGTCCGTATTAATCCTCACGTCAGGACCACGTGCTTTGTATAGCACATCGCGGTCCGCCTCGGTCCATTATAATGTATCGTGTCAACGGACATCGATTGAACATCGACAGGCAGCCCGGCCCCGCTCGGTTTAACCCTCCGGCGTCTACACGAAATTTATTTTATTGCCCCACAGATACGGTGATTTGGAAGGAAACGGCCGGGAGACAGGTGTTAAGAATTCAACACCTTTACCTTCTTTTTTCGTTGGCAACTCGTACAGATAAGTGGGGGAATAGATTAACGCAGATTAAATGTCGTTGTAGGCTATACATACAATAAATGTAATGGCATTATTTATTGAGGCGCGTTCGCGTTCGGAATTCGTGTTGTTTTAGTGCTGGATTAGAGTTGTACGTATTTACTGAGTGGAATATTTTTCAAGATAAAAGAGATACGCTCGCGGATTTATTCGGAATCTGTGGACGGAGGGAGAAATAATATAATAAGAGTAAATTAAAATATTGGCTCAGAGATTAGCGGTGGTTTTGTGAAGTAATTTACGCGCGTGACGGACGCGCCGCTGATAACATCTGCCCGGGCCATACTTAACCCTTTTTGTTTTGAATATTTCTCTTCGCCTTCATAACTCAAAGGTTCATAACGTTTTGCTTTTAGATGTTGGGTATAAAGTCTCTTTTTATTTATATTCTATGTGTTCTTTATTTCAAAATATCTATTGCATTTATTACATCGCTTAAGGACACCATAATTTTGAAACGGACAGAAATCTAGAAGAAAGAAGTCTACACATTCGCTTGGTGTCTTAATCCTGAGAATAAGAAACCCTGTAAATCAATATACTGATAATAAATAATAATTATAACATGAATGGTATTTGCCCAAATTTTGATAATGATTTAATTAAATTTAATACTCCAAATTTGGATAAATATGTAACAAACAGTAAGTACTGTTTATAAAATATTAGTTATTAAAATTAGTGAAATTGACTTCAAAGACAGTAAATTGGATTTAACTGTACTAAATCAAACGGTTCTTTCTGCCAGTTTATTGCTATGCCATATTATTTGCAACCTATAGGGAATAATATTTTAGCAATTGCCAGGTTATAATAAATAATATTTATATATATTTACACAAATGTAAATTACCTGTGATCCCTCAGATGATCTTGCCGTCGGAATGCCTTGCCGCAAATGTCACAAGAATATGGCCGCTCGTCTGTATGCGTTCGTTCGTGTATTAGTAGGTTGTAGGACTTCGTGAACTGTCTATTGCAAAACTTACAGATGAATTGCTTTTTCGTTCGGGGCCCGCTGCCCGATGTTTTCTGTTTGTTCGTGACACCGCTTCCCGTCGAAGACGTGGAGCTGTTAGTGGACTTAGAACTCGAGGAGTTAGAGGGTTGCGGTGACAGAGGTGGCTGGGTCGGGCTACCGTTCATCTGTTGTTGGTACATCGCGTTCATTAACAAACTGGGGTAGCCGCTGTCCAAACTTTGTGAGGAACTATAACCGTAACCCTTCGATGTCGATTCTAAATGTTGCTCTAACGTGAACTCGTCCTCATTGTCTAGCAACGCGAGGTCTTCTTCGACCTCCTCCGATAGGTCCACGTCCTCAGCCGCGATTGCATCGGACAGCGGGTACTCCTCCGGCGTCCTTGGTGACAACTCGCGAGTGTTATCCGACACGTCGATTTCTGTGATCTTCGCGCTGGCCGTCGCTATCCGTAAAATGTCTTGTTTGGACGTCGCACCACTGTCTGTGTTCGTTTGGTTTGAACTGCCAACGGACGATACGGTTGTTAAGCGCTGCAGTGTCAAATAGGATTCCAGCGCTTGCAGGTTAAGGGCGGCGGCAGCGGCAGAGTTCGACGGAAGCAACGCCGCCTGCTGCAGAGAGTTCATCATAGCGTTCTGCAGCGAAATAACAACACCTTGTAGCGACCTTTGCAACATGTTTTCTTGTAGAAGCGCGGCGGACGCAATCGACAAGTTCAAGCTCGACGGGGACAAACTAGCTGCCTTACTTGTCACTCCTTTGGTGTCCTCGCTCGGCGGAGGGGTCTCGACGCTCAATCCGTTCATGTCCTGCGCGACCTTAGTGTCCTGGATCTGCAGATTGTTTTTCAGCTTGATAATGGCGCTCTCCAGTGAGTTCAACGTTGACTTCGACCGGGACGAGCTTTGCTCTTGCATATTGATGGGCTTACGCCTGGAGATGTCATATGAACACTTGTTTGGTGCACGTGCTCTGGGGTATGCGGTGGGAGGGGGCGGACCGCGTGCGCGTGCGCTGTGCAAGGGGCACGGGTAGTGTTGCGGCGTGCGTGGCGGTTGTGCGACGCGGCGCGACTGAGCCGGCGGGCAGCCGCCGCCTCCCCCGCCCCGCCCCCCCCCCCCCGCCCCCCTCACAAAAGCTCTCTATTTTAGGCAACTCTTTGTACTTAGTAATGGTCACCTCACGCTGCCCAAACGACAGACACGTCCATGAGAACAACGTTGCGCCAGTTCCGTCGTAACCCTTTCAAGTGTAATGAGATTCTGAATGGAGCCGTTCGGCTATGGGAAAACAATCGCGCTCCGGTTGTCCGCCACCTTTTGTTGGCGGGCCGGAAAGGCATCGAAAACGTTATGTACGATTGCACTCGCACCGATTTGCTCTGTACATTATTGTAAATCTGATATAAGAAACCCATATCGAGATACCATTGTTATGTTTCAGAAAAATTAATAGTGGCAGCATGGCACCAAAAAGTAAGGCCTAAGACAAAAGCGAACATTAACCAAACAAATAACAGGCCTCGGCTGTGTCGCTTAATGTTTATTCACCACAGACAAAGCTTTCGATAGAGACATCAGTTTCAACCGCAGGTGTTTTGTTGTTCGATCAATGAAAGTGATTTCAAACGGCCGTACATTAATATTATTTCACTTTATAATGGGACGATTGTGTAAAAAGCACTTTATTGAGACCACATACAAGTTAACACATTGCGTAGGTACATTCTTGGAATTATAATATGATACTTTATGTACATCGATAAGATTTATATGAATTAAATGTTCGTTCTTTTAGCACTTTGAGTTGCTTCATTATTAACTTTGAATTTCAACAGTATTTTTGTGTTAATACTTAAAATGGATTGATGTATTTCGTTAAAGTAACCTGCATATTTTATTGTCCACGTGCTGGAAATAAATGAAAGGCTAAAATAAAAACAGAAACGAATCCTCTACAAACAAATGTTTATTAGTATTGTCCTGTTAAATTAAACGGACGTAATAATGTTTACTTACGTTGGTTCTTTGCCAGCCTTTTTAAAGTACACAGCTAACAGCAATTCGACGAGAGATTTGTTTATGTTTGTCAATAATGTCCAATGTTGTCAATTGACTTTACGATTTTCCTTAATGATGTGTGATGACACGAGGGACAAGTCTGCAATATGTACTCATGTTTTAATTACATAAAAATATGATCCTTTTCGAGTACGTACAGCTCTGAATTTAGTTAGTGAGCCTGGTGAAAATTATATTGGAACATCTAGAAAATGTAAAACATTTATATATATATCATTTTGATAAAAAGCCAGAGTTTACTCAATCATCTATGAATTTATGGAATGATTTTATATCCTTCTAGCGGTCCATACACTTTCATCCATGGTCGGATATATTAAATTCGGGTACTCCGCATAATTATGGCCAATATAGTAAGAATAATATTTTTATATTTTATTCATTTTTGAAAAAAATATCAGTGATAACTTGTTTATTGACACCGTCGAACTAAAGGCGTGATAGCTCAGTGTCTAGGCGCTTACTTTTAGTTCAATATAATGAACAAACTGAGTTCAAACCCCTATGCACAACTCCCAAAATGCTGGAATCAACGAAAATTTAATTTTAAGGGCTGACTCGTCACAATGTCAATGGTGAAGGAAAACATCGTGACGAAAACATTTATAAAAATATTTTAAAGATATAATAGTAATGGTTCGATGTTATTGAGGTAAAGAAAGTAGTAACTAATACAATAAATACAAAGTTTGTTAGTTACTACTTTCTATATCTCAATTACATCAAACCATTTGACAACCCGACTGTCGTAGAAGATAGGAAACATGGTCCTAGTACTTATTTATAATAATTATATATTTATATATCCATAACATAAGGTTGCACGAATAGGCAGGGCCGTCCGGGGAAGTACCACGACCTAACAGAGACAGCATTCTTAGCTTCTGCAACGCATTTGTAACCCTACGGGTATTTTTAATGTCCATAGGCAGCCGTTATCACTTAAGATCACCTGAATCACCAGCTCGCTTGCCATCTTCTAACATAAAAAAGATAATGTAAACAATGTGCCTAGAATTTTTTTTTATTCGCGTGTAATTTGAGTCTTTTTAAGATCGTTCCTTGTATGAATCTAAGATTCGCTGGTCGCAAGATACATACATACATTGGTCTCAATCTTAATAGATCGTTTTGCAACACCATACGCTCGTGGCGCAGTCACGGCCGCTGCCCAGAAACAAAAGGCCTACCCATGCTCCAATAGAGCGTGATAATTGCACGAACAATTGACATGGGAAACAGGAAAATGGAGCGTGAATGGAGCTTCAAACGTCTCTCTTGTGGATTGCGAATGGTTGCAAGTCCGCTTCTTACGATAAATGAAAAAAAACCAAAACATGTCTAAAATGTTACTTTTACAACAAAAATCTAACGAAAACCGATTCCAAGTTAATATTTAAATTTGGTAAACGAAGAAAATTAAATGAGATGGACGACAATTATAAAATTGGTACCATATAGAGGGCGAAAGTTTTTTTATACTGCTTTCTTTGTGGACGTAAATAAAAGGTTATATATCTAAGCAGAAAATAATTCTAATAATGATAAGGATAATAGTTCATTATTACCATAATTTTTTTGCAAATATGACTGAATAGTGCAACTAGTAATATCTCTTAATTTATATATAATGATCACATCATATAATAAAGTAAAGACCCTACCACATTTTTTTTACACAAAAAATGCTTACAGTTCAAACCGAAAGCGTAGCATAAATTTTATTTTTATGTTTTGCAAGCAACTCACTTAATTACTGTAATTAGCAGCAACAATTTACATACCGCTCGGAAGCTTAGGAATCGCTTGGCACATTTTTTTAAAGACTGATTTAGATATAGTGGTTACATTACGAAACAACCTATCCAAATTTGGAGAGATACAACTTTGTCAAGGTCTTACAAAACATATCAAAGAGCGTAACAGAAAAATTTAATTAGTATGTGATTTGTTATAATAGATATGGATTACCATATCTCTTATCTAATTTAGTAAATATTAATGTTATATAAAATATTTTTTTATAACAGGCTTTAACATTGTAGACAAGATTACAATGACCGTTGACAATTCATACTTACAATAATCTCATTATTTATGAGCCGCGTTGAGGTATAGTTACATTGAATAGGAAGTACGTTCCTATTTGTTTGATGGTTCGTGACTCGAATTGGGAATTATCGTTGCACATTGATGTCTTCGAATTATAATCACGTGGCCCATTTTGTTTCTCATACAGTTTTTATAATAAAGTAAAAGTAAAGGTGAAACTCTAATATTACGTTTCACCCCACTTCAAAGAAGGACGTCGTTATCAATTTGATTGTGTTTTTTTTATGTATGTACCTCAAAACTTCGTTATTTATGAACCGAATATAAAAATTGTTTATGTATTGGATTCTGTTTAGCTGGCATGTAGTTCTCAAAATCAAATACAATTTTTTAATTTCAGTTGTAATTTTTCTACACGTATCATGTTTAAACTTAAGATATTCAACCCTCTCAACCTTTTAGAAGAACCAGATGAGAACTTACAAAAAGCAAAGCTCTGATATAGTAGTCAGGAACAATCTTCTAGAACTCAAGAGTAGAGACAAGGCGTAGGTATTAAATGTTAAAAAGTTGTGCAATGAAGTGGAAGGATGTGTTTAAGTACTACTTAACAAAATGTAGAGAAAACGTCTCAACGAAGCTCTAGATCTACATATAATTATATTTGTAGTTAGAGTACAGGAACCTAATAATGTTCTTATATATTTATTTAATTTAATGATATTAATACACCACACGCACAAAGTGACGACAACATGAGAGATGCTCTTAGAATCTCTACAAAGCCTCTAAGATTGAAAACGGATACACGTCATTGTAAAAATTTACCGTTATAGCAGTGGGATGTTAAAAGACTGTGATATTGAATCGAGTGTAAAGTAAAAAGTAAATTCATCAACGCACCAACGCATCTGCAACAGGCAAGTTGCATGCAGCTCTTCACATCAGCGGATGTGAAGAACTGCATGTCGGCGACAATAACTTATCATCTGGTGGTCCGTTAAATTGTATGTGACCTAAAAATAAAAATTGGGGCAGATTGTTGACGTAGCAGCAGCAAATATATCCTCTAACACGCAAACACGTACAAATTTTCCTATTTTCAAGTTTACAAAGCAAGTGCGATGACTGTTTATCGATTACGTGTTTGTACGGTCAAGATTGAACTGTGGTGGAAGAATAATAGATCACGTAACAACTCCTGCTGTATGAAAGATTATGTTGGCCGAAGAAGTAGCGAGGCTCATCGGTCTACGACAGGCCTGCGACTTCCCTATAGTTGTGAGTGAAAACTTAGGGCTGTCAACGCTCGGAAGTAGGCGGTGTATTGGAACAAAGAAGAAGTAGCGAGGTTAATTGGTCCGCGACAGGCCTGCGACATCCCTGGAGTTCTGAGTCAAAACTAAGGGCTGTCAACGCTCGGAATTAGGCGGTGTATTGGAAAAACTAAGGAGTAGCGAGGCTCATCGGTCCGCGACAGGCCTGCGACATCCCTGGAGTTGTGAGTGAAAACTTAGGGCTGTCAACGCTCGGAATTAGGCGGTGTATTGGAACAAAAAAGCCTTGGACTACTATGCCGCGGTTTCCGACGGCCCTGATCGCCTCCTTAAGCGGCAGGCAGCCCAGTTCGTCGGGCATTAGTCGCTCGAGCACGAGCGGCCGTTCTCACGCCACCACCGCCCGGGGGCGACGCGCGCTCACGACTCCCGCGAGATATGAAATTAATTTATCTACAACTAAACGGAGTCGCGCGGAAAAAGTTTTCACGTGGGTGTAACCGTACATGGGTCGTGATTTATTGGTACGGTTTTCTAGCCCCAGCCCTGAATAAGGCAGCGACTTAGGAGCGAATGAAACTTCGACGCGTCACGCTTTGTTTTGTTTTATTTTCCTACGAAGTTCACAATTTTCGATTTCTGTAAACATTTGGGTACACAAAAACACTGGAGGTTTAGTGTAGGATAAGGTAATTTAAAATATGTTATTATATCTTTCGAAAAATGTATAAAATTCGGTGTTGAAGGCGTTTTTCGCATTGTATAAGATCAAACACACATACATTAGTCCGAGAAATCTTAATACCGAAATCTGTACGTCCTAGAGGTTAAACACGGTGGGAATCAAACCCATAACCTGCGAGGCTAAAGTACAGCCTAACAGGAAGTGAAACGACGTAATGTTTCATGCCACCACATTACCAGGTTTCAAATATCTTCGAAATATATTTTTTCATAACTTCTTAGCTATGCAGTTTTCCTCGTGATATTTTATTTAACAGAGAACTTGTCAAACCCGTGTTTAAAATGACATACTAACAATTTCATCGGTGTTGACACCGACATATGACCACATCACAATATGATATCAAGAAATGAAACAAAGCATGAACAACAAACGAAAAAAACAACATGGTTTTATGGTATACTAAAAGCGTCTTCGGATTATTCGCTATATTCCTTTACTTGTGTATTAAGGGTGTCACAAACATGAAGTCGCATGCAAAAGTTGGCAGTAGCAGTCATCCGGAGATCGAAACCAGAACACTACGTAAAATAACTCTTGGCGAGGTGGCGACTTAAACCATTGCGTCACTGCGTCTCATGTAGTCAATTCCAGAAAGTTCTAAGTTAAAACCGCAGCGTTCATATTCTAGAGCTTTCGCCTTACAAAGCGTGATAAAATTAAGCGGTCAGTGCTTAACTTACACGCTTTCAGCGTGCTATCGCGTGATTTACTTACTCGCCAAACACGCTCGTCTCCCCGTTGATTTTAGTAGGAACGGTTAATTGCCCACGGTCGTTTGGATGCGTTTTTATGTACGCCGTAAATTATCGGGCATTTGAGCTAAAGACCGAGCTTTAGCGTTTCTCCTTGTAAGTAACTTTTGATTGATACTTTCGTTATTTTCATATATTTAGGTGAGGGTTGATTAAGTATATTCTCTATGTGGTACTGCCATCTATGCTTGGTAGTTTTGTGTTATTTCTGGTTCCGCGACTGGCGGCTAAAAACTCGCGAAATAGTTTTATTTAATAATTTTTAGTATTCGTGTAACCACAAGTAACAGTTTTTTGGGAACGTATATTGATTTAATTGTATGTAAATTTACTTTTTGTTTACTGTGGTAGAATCGTGGTGCATTTGTGAAGAAGGGTAAGTACAACAGACACACTAAAGGCTGATAATTACAGTTGTTTAATCTTTTTTCTTCCATGTGTGGAGTTAGAGATGCCCCGATGGAATTTACGTCATAATTAAAACGACAACTCATACTCATAACGACAAATGGTATTTTCCCAAATAACGCGAGTCATAATTAAAACGACAACTCATACTCATAACGACAAATAAGTGGTGTCCGAACACTACTTCTTCATTAAAATTCCCAAATAACAAAGCGAGTGACGATTAATCAGTTTCGATAGTAAATGGCGCGTAATGATATCGCGCTGTAACGCTATCAGTCCGAATTAGAATATTCATTAGTACATCGGACGGGTTTCCAAATAGTTACACGGCAAACCTATGACCTCATATATCAATATAAAGATAATATTGTAGTTCGGCAACTACTTTAGTAGCGTGCGTGTCACCTTTACACACCGGACAGTGGGAGAACTTTATAATTTTCAAGTCAATCATCGTCGATATCGAGTTTCAATTGAATTTTTTTACTTACCCGCCGATATAACTGTAGGTGTTCGACGCGAATGACAAATGTGTTCTCGGCGTTAGATAGCAATATTGTATAATGTTGTATTCATTTTTTTGTGAAATAATTTAATGTTTTTCTTAGAAATCTGGGTAGCGGCGTATGCTAGCCGCTGCGTTTAAAAAGAGCGATGACAGTCCATATTTTACTGGCGAAACATAGAGTACAGAGGTAATTTAAAATGCGTATTGCCTTGTTCCATTAAGTGGTCGTACAAAAGATAGAATTATTCATTTCGCGTTACGCCAGAGTTATGTAAAATTTACACAATAATGTGATTAGGCCTGTTCACTATTACCAAGAAGATTTTACAGTTGACTTTGAGTAGCTCTTTAATTACTAAAAAGATCGATTACGAGAAAAAGATCGCAAATATTCTAAAGATAGTAAACAGCATTCTATTGAAAAACATAAAACCTTATTACACATTATAACCTAAATATACCTTATTATACATATTCACAGCAGCTTGTCCTGCACAGATTTGATTCATGATAATGTATTTTTCAACACAAGGAGTTGATTTTGTGAAATGAAATTTGAAAATATTCCAGCCTTATCCTTGAATCCGGGGCTTCTAGATTTATCCTAACGGTTTTACCTTTAAAATACGAACATTCATAAGTCCTCTAAAAGGCTTTTTTGCATTACCGTTGTAATAACTTTATAATTCAAAAGCCGTGACCTACTGACTCTAGGTCGTGTTTGTGCCAAGTTGTAGAGACCTTTTACACTCATATATCATACAAATACTATGATCCGGAATTACGCATCTATTTATTTTATTTTATGTGAAAAGTTGCCAAACGAGCAGACGGTTCACCATATGGTAAGTGAATACCGCCGCCCATGGACATCTGCTACACCCGAGGGTTACAGATGCGTTGACAACCTTTTGAAAACTGGGCTCCGGCTACCTCACTCACCAGACGAAACGCGAAAGTATTTGACATACTTCCACTTTACGCCGGTCTTCTGTGAGGTCGTGGTACTTACCCGGATGGGCCTGCCCATTCGTGCAACAGCCGAAGTTGCTGCGTGGCCCTACCATCTAGACGGATGCATATACAATTCTTTTAAAATATAGACATATGTGGGAATCGAACTCGCAACCTGCGACGCCAAAGCCATAAAATATTGACATCGCAAATCTTTTACATTTTAATTACTGTGGTGAATATACGCAGGAGTACTTTTGCGATAAAATTCCTTTGAACCTAAAAATAGTTTCACTTAAAAGATTTAACATTGAATAAGATCTCTATTCGAAGCCGCGATAATAGACCGTATATTTCCAAGTGTAACATCGTATTGTCTACGCCCTGTTTAACCGTGAGTAAGATGGTGATTTCAGCTATCTTGTTAATAGATAGCCGATATCAGAATTACGCCTCAAGCGAATGTACGTTGCACTTTTAGCTGCTTTACACATCACAAATGAGATAGGATTCGCTCCAATATATGTTTATTCCACACCGAAGATACCATTGAAGTGTTAATTGTGAAGAAAGTCGCTCAGTGTTTTGAAGAGCATTAATTGTTTCTCACAAGGCCACCTGTAATGTTTGAACATTTATTGACTAAAGTGGAATAAAATAATTCAAAAACATCATCTTCGACATCACTTTCTAACAAAAAGTCAGGGATTATAACTTTTTAAATGATAGGCCCAACCAATTACAACCCGCGAAATTGATTCTACAGAATTACATCGCGGGATTAAGACTTGGTGATATCAGATAAGAATTGATGTACTCGCATGTATGAAAACCTAACCTGGCACGAATTCTAAATATAAGTGGAGAAACAAAAAGTTTTCAAGGCGTCAGCATCAAGTTTCTTATTCGCGAAGTATTTAATAATAATGCATTAACTTAACAGTAGACAAAATATGAGCCGTGATAGCTCAGTGTCCGGGCGCTCGCCTTTAATTCAATATACTCGAGCAACCTGAGATCGATCCCAGGTGCCGGCACCAATGAAGTTTTTAACTTTAAGTGCTGACTTATCACGTGTTCCGCGGTGAAGGAAAACATCAGGAAACCTGCATATTTTCGAAATAATAACAAAAAAAAATATATTTCGAAAACATGTGAAGTCCGCCAATCCGCAGTGGGGCCGCGTGGTGGACTATGCCCTGATACCCTCTGTATAGAGGAGGCCTTTGCCCATTAGTGGGACATGTATAGGCTGTTACTTTAGACAAAATATTGCTATCTTTGTGAAGCCTTAAAATTTGACAGATGACACCGGGTGCAAACGTCAAAAACAAATGACATAAATGACTGTGGCGTATAACAGATTTACTTTCATTAGATATACATGTTTTACAAAATGTTCATTCAAAAAAGCCATCGCATTATCATTCTGTGTCAGTGACTGACTCGGTGAGCATATTGAACCCTAGGTTGGTTCCGTTTAAGGCCCGGGTTTCGGCTGGGACCTTATGACCTCCTACCCGCAACGGGCTTATTTATTGCACAGAACCGGTTCCCGTATTAAACGTCTGGCAGCAAAATACCAACTGTGTGTGAATATATTACTATGGATTCACTGTCTGTTTTATAAGAGTTATCCGTGCAGACAAACATTTTAAAGTGCAATTAAATATTGAGTTTAGGTGGTCATTGGACAAAAATTGTGGCTCTAAGCGCATAATCCAGAAGGCTCGGGTTCGAATCCCGGTAGCTGCGAAAGATTTTGGGACAGTTTTTTTTTAATTCGACATGTTATAAATGAAACTAGATTTTAAGGATTTATCGCGTTTATTTTTAATTTTAATTCCCGACGTTTCAAACCCTTTACAGCGTTCATGGTCACGGGACAGACGACATGTTATTAACACTGTATTTATAGATGAACTATATAGTTTCCATGTTTGCTTTATTTATCTTTTTATTGCTAAAACGATACCCTATAGTACTACGTGTGACGTGTAGGTAATAATTACCTACATGTCACAGAGGTCTTATACAAACACTAAATAACCAATCGCGACCAAACAGGCTACCCAATTCGGACATATATGTAATTGCGGCGCTTTATATAGAATAAGGAGTTTA